TTCGGTGTGGTTGTTTGGTCCTTCTGAGACACCAATCAAATCATAAGACAAAACGAACCACAACAAATCTGGATTTGATTTAACATTTGAATACTCCCTACTCATTTGCATTCGGTAGGTAGAAATAATTATCTATCGGGAGTGGAAGGAAATTGCCAGTGTCAGCAATGTTGCTCGCGTCCACCTTCCTGTGAGGCGACACAGGCTGTTGCTCGACGGCATAATCCTTGGAAGCGAAATCGAATTTACAGAGGACCGTATTCGGGCATCAATCTGCGGAGCTAGGTGAGAGATGAAATCAGTCCTCCGACATGAATATATGCTGGGCCGTAATCGGTATACGTGGATATACCTGGATGCAAGGGCTGAAGGACACGACAGAGAAAATAATGCTGAATTCGTTTGCCTACCTAACGGACCGGGAAAGTATCGATATGTTATTCATATTATCATTCTACATTGTATTGTTCAGTAAGTGTAACTTATGGTTCTTTATGCCTGCTCACTATTTCCTGTTTATTCCTGCATTAGACCGCAGCTGCAGAGAATCTCGTGGTCCCCACTAACGCGTTCTTTCGGGTGTTTGGCTATTCGTCACGAAAATCTTCATAAACAGGCGAAATTCATAATCTTCTTGATGCATTACTGAGTCTAGTTAGTTCCATGTTACAATCTGCGTACTGACACAATATTGTAAAATAAACGTAATACTAAGCAATGCTGAATCATGAGATAGTTTATTAAGGGAATGAGGCATTCGCCCTTGAGCTCCCTATTCATATCTATAAACGGAAATAAAGTCATCAATTACATAAGCAAATGCAGAAAGTTGAAAAGTAAGCGATAATTGTGAGCCAGGCACAACCTGCCGCCGTTAAAACAATCGTTATTATATGAACAGTAGTTTCTCAATAAATGAGTATCTAGTCTACACTTAAAGGAATCGACAGTTCCGGAAAAAACCACCGCATCAGGGAGTCCGTTCCATGCCCTAATGAATCTGTGAGAAAAGGCGTTCCGTCAGACGTCCGAATGAGCCAGCTTCCTCTGCAGTTTGAAGGGATGACCACGCAGACGGTCAGTTCCGGCCAATTCGTAGAATTTATCAAAGCCTAGGGCGCAATCACGACCTCTGACAATCCGGCCGGTTTGAATGAGATCGCCGCACAGTTGCCTGTAATTAAGAGGAAGCAGATTTAGTTCGGTCAGCCTGGTTTCGTAAGGCAGATGATTATGATTCCTGACCATCTTCGTAGCCATCGCCTGTACTCCTTCCCGTCGTTGATAGTCCTTCTTCAACCACGGTCTCCAGTCCTGGACTGCATACTCTAAGTGAGACCGGATGATAGGTTTTTCCAAACAGCTCTCTATCGGTCTGCATAAACCCTTGCCTCAGCGCAAATAACACCCTTATCGCACATTTGGCTGCCCTTTGACACTGTAATGATGGTTTCAGTGAGGAGGTCATTAGGACGCCGAGGTCTTTCTGTTCCACAGCATTTGAAAGGGCTGACCGCCCAGGACGTATTGAAAGGGATCGTCCTCCTTACTGGTCCGTCTGGTGCGGAGTCTCAGGACTACACAGTTGTCGACATTAAAATTAAAGAACCAACGAGTTGACCAATTATTCAGGCGGTCGAGACTGTCTTGAAGCGCGTACCTGTCTGCGTCAGATCTGATGGTTCTCCACAGCTAAACATCGTCCGCAAACATGATGGCGTTGCATCCCAGGTCGTCGACGCAGTCGTTTATGTAAACCAGGAATAGCAACGGACCTAGGACGGAGCCCTGGGATACACCACCTAGAAAGGGGGTAGGAGGTGACCTTGAGGCCTCAACGCACACGGTTTTTGATCTCCCTGTAAGAAAATCTGTCATCCATGTCAGCAGCCTTCCTCTTATCCCAGTTTCAGAAAGTTTGTAGACCAGGCGTTTGTGTGGGACGGTGTCGAACGTCTTCTTGAATTCCGTGTAGAGGACATTAACCCTTTCATCCTCGTCAGGCGTGCGAGTCCACTGCTATGTCGAGAGCAATATACTGGAAAGGCACGAGCGGTTCTGTCTGAAGCCGTGCTGCATGTCTGAGTGCAACGGGTTCTGCTCCAGGAACTTCATTGTTGCTTTCTTAACTATGATCTCCACCATTTTACAGCAGATGCAGGTTAGACTAACAGGCCGGTAATTGTTAGCATTAGCGCGAGCCCCGCCCTTGTATATCGGAAAGGTATTTGCCGTCTTCCATTCCGATGGCAGCCTCCCTAATTCAAATGACGAGCGGAAGATGTGTGCCAGTGGTTTGGAGAGTTCATTCGCCAATTCTTTCAAAAATTTGGCTGGTATATTGTCCGGACCCGAGGACTTTGATTCTTTGAGATTTGCAGATCCCTTTCCACAAGAGGAGTATGGAGTCAAGCACGGAACCAGCGGTTTCAACAACATTACTGGCAGTGCGACTACGAAACTCTGTTTCTCTAGTAAAAACCGAGGCAAAATACCGTCCAAAGTGTTCGGCTTTCCCGCTGTTCTCAATGATTTCTACATAATTATCATCCTTTAGAACTGCGACCGGGTCCTTGTTTTTAGTCTACTGTTAAGATAGTGAAGTAAAATCTTGGGCTTCTGTTCAGCCTGTCGGATAATTTTGGATTCATACTCCTTCCGTGTCTGACGGATACATTTTGACCGCATTTCGTTGACGACGAAATTCTTCGAAATGCGCTAATGACGTCGTTTCCCTGAATATTTTCCTTCTTTTGCTTTTCTTCCGTAGCTGCCTATTTAGGTCCCTGGTTAACCAAGTAGGTCTACTATTTGTTTTTTGTACTTGAGTTGGACAACAGCGCCGAATTAGATCGAGTGAAATCGTCCTAAAATGTCTCCAGTCGTCCTCGGGATCTCTCCTGAGCAAACTGTGGCAAGTCACGTGCATCAATTCGATCTACATTGTGTTGAAATCTGCCTTTCATATATTATGTTGGCCTCCTGTTCCCTTCTGGCGTTGGGAGAAGAGCGAGTAATCCCATATTAGCGTAGCATGGTCACTTTTCCCGAGAGGTGCAGTGGAATACACTTCGTCGATAGTAGAGAAGTCTTTAGTGAAAACTAGGTCTAGACAATTCGCTCTCTGGTTCTCTCGAAATCTTATTGGTACTTTCACATGTTGCGCCAGAGGGAGATCGAGTGTGAAGTCCAGTAACTTGTTGCTGAAGGAAGTTGGCCCACCGTTAACTGCCATAGTTTCCCATTCTATTGCAGGTGCGTTGAAATCCCCAGCAAAAAGTGTCTCTTGGTGGCTACCTACGTCCATGACTAAGCGAAGGAGCGACTAATCAGCTGCACTCGGAAGGTTTGGTGGTCTGTAAATCTTCGGGAATTCTAGATTTTGTGCGTTACTATGCTTTATCTTTATCCAGCCGGATTCATATTCAAGGGAAAGTGTGTGAGTGCGTTCAACTGCCGAAATTCCTGCCCTTACATATACGACTACCCCACCGTCCTGTTAATTTTGACGGTCTATACGAAACAGCTGGTAACCCCGTATCGAAATCTCAGCATCCACGATTTCGGGATTATGCCAAGTTTCCGTTATGGAGATGACGTCGGGGCTTCGTTCTTATACCATCACTCTGTGTAAGGACGCTCTATCAGCGTGTCGAAACGCACTGCAGTGAGCCGGAAGACAAAATTGCTGAACTACAATACCTCCGACGGGTCTTCAAAGCCAATGGCTACCCGCGCAACTTCGTCGACCGGTAAATACGCAAAAGGGACGACAGGCCTAAACGCACGGACACCAAGTCTTGGCGGGCACTCCCGTATGTCAAGAACGTTTCGGAAGCTGTCGGCCGCCTTCTCGCACCACTTGGGGTTGGAGTGGCACACAGAACGGAAGCAACCATCAGGCGTCTGATCATGAAACCGAAAGACCCACTGCCACGGCTAGAAACGTCTGGAGTCGTTTATCGGATCTGGTGCAGTTGCGGACAAAGCAACTACGTCGGAGAAACCGGAAGACAGCTCCGAACGAGAATGGCCGAACACGCGGCAGCGGTGCGCAGAAATGACGCCAGCTCTCAAGTTGCAGCTCATTCGACGAGATCCGACCACACATTTAAATTCGATGAGGCCGAAATTCTCGCAAGAGGTGACAACCGAGTGAGCCGGGAGCTACTGGAATCATGGTTTACTGCCCCCCCAGTCCATGAACAAGTGCAACGATCTTCCGACTCCATACTCCGCGCTAAAATTTCGCCTAGGCGGAGTAACAAGCCATGCGGCGGGGGGCAGAGGTGAACACTTTCCCCAACACCGGGGTCGTGCGTCAGATGGCCGAGCAATCATCACGCCAACATCCAACGCACGTGATGAAATTGCAGCAATTATCGACTCGAATGTCGGCCATTAAGCAATGATCACACCAAGTGTGACAATATCGGATGAAGGGGAGAGCCGTGAACGTTCATAGGTATGCGGTAGCATGGCTACTGCATCCTATAAATACCCTTGTGCAACAACCACCCGTTTCTGCTCTTTTGTCTCAGATGATGGATTCGAGTAGGAATCCGAAACGTCAGGCTAATAAAGCTCTTGTCCCGGCGATCGTGCCTCCTTCTTCAATATCACTCTGAGTATCAACACACACAAAGTTCAGATTCTCCCATGCATATTCTGTACGTCAGCGAATTTCTTCGGTTTCACACATTTCACAAAATGCCTTTTTGTCCGGTTTCTTTTACCTTTCATACAATGGGGACACCAGACACGTAGTATTTATTCGCATTTCAACATTCATATTTCCAATCTGTGGTTCGCATGCGTACGACAATTCGATTCTCAAAAAGCATCAGTTGCACTTCACCGTTGGGGAAAATAATAAAACTCCAATCAAGGCACACCATTTACTTAAATATGTCCAAAAATAACAAGCGTTATTAGACCCACATCCGCGAATATCGTTATAATAATTCAATTCACAACACATATAACATGTGTCGATTGAATTAGTTTGACTCCAGCTTGAATGAGTTCTCGTAATCGATAAATGTAAGAATTGGCTTGGTTGCCCCTGTCGCATTGGACGGTTTTATCATGAGGTGTTGTTCACGACCTCCTTTGAAACCTATAACCATTGTTCGATTCTCTGTTCCCAAATGGCCCGTAAACAGCACGAGGTCTTTCTTCTGCACTCCTGAAAACACAAACGCATATGTTATAGCAGTCATGAATGAGATCAGTGCTACGATTTTATAGAGTCCTTGGCAACGTACCCGTCTTTCCCATGAGAGTGATGACATTTGAAAATCTGCCTTTCGTTGAGATATACCCGGAGACGCTTATATTCTACACAATGTGAGAACGAAAACCATGAACAGAATAGTGACATGCAAAAATACCTACAGTGAAAAGTGAAGTGACATCCATTCCGGAAGAAATACTGGAAAATATTAAATGGGCCACCATATGCGACCAGCCAGTCTGGTGTTAGCATGCAGATTATACCGCATGGAGGGGAATCTACATCACACATCAATTTACATCAATTCATACATTACATCACATCAATTCATACATTAAATGCGGAAACCTCGGTAAAGCTAAATGCAGATACATGCACATTATGGGGATTACTCCGATACCGCATAAGTTAGACGATTAGACAGGCCACATGAAGGCGATATCACAGCAGTTTGACTCTCAGTCCTGGATGTATTTGAAGCCACAATACTTACCAAGCCATTACGCATTTCAAAGCGTCAAACTACTGTGTTATGGATTTCACTGTTGTAGCGTGATGATGGATTCAAGAATGTAGATGTTACTAATTCTACCTCAATGCATCAACAAACTGTCTATGCGTATTAATCAACTAGTGGTGGGATTTGGTACAGGACATGATGTATCATGAATGCCGACCTCTAACTCATGGCATAAAGTCATGTGGGGCAGCAGTTAGGGGCAGTTAGGTGCAGATTCTGCGCAGCTCGGCAGAAGCATGCTGTGAGTAGATCGGAGTCTAAGGACGCCCGTCGCACCCGCAGAGCCGCTGTCAACATATTAAAATGCATACAAATATAAGAATCGTCATTCAAAGTAAATGTTGGTAAGGGAAGTTATGTTTCATAATGACGCGGACAATCACAGTCATATACGTGTTAGACAAAAATTTGATGATTTTTAATTCTTTACCCCGATATCTGTATTAAATAGTAGGATGTGGATGAGCGTTTCATTGTTGAGAAGTTCTTTTGCAAAGACAGGTTTTACTCCTTCGGCCAGTGTCGAATCTGAAAAAAGGAGTTTCACAAATTTTTGCTTATTGCGTAAACTTATAAAGCTAGTCAAATGACAAATTGTCCGTGGAGTTAACATTTATATACTGCACCATGTCACCAGAGCATTAACCAAACGACAAAATCTCTGCATTTATTTCATACGTTTAAAGAAATCTTTAGTTAATAAGTACTCCGAAGAGACCATAATGAGATGTTTTATAGGAAGTATAGACCAAACAATTTCGTTGACTTACAGGATGGCGTGTCAGCACGTTTGTACTGAACACCAATAGGACTTCTGGTTGTGGTATTCTCAGGGTACACTGTAAATGACGCGTTGGATCCCGCCAGGCGACCGTAAGCGATTAAGTGCCGTGTGGCTATTAAAATGAAATTGTGGCCGTGAATTAGACAGGTAAAGGATGTTTATTCTATTTGTTAAAAACCTTCTTTTGGAATGCGCAGATTGTACTGCTTATATTCCTGAAATTCTTTAATGTACAAACCAATAAATCTGCAACTTACCGTTAATAATTTCCCAGCAGTCATTTGGTGCAACACAATGTGAACCGTTGGTCGGGTTCGAAATATTTACACCGTCAACTGTTATGTACTGCAAGAAAAACATTTACGTTAGCTCGGGTAAACGGTAAATCACTATATCTATCAGTTGGAAAAACGTACCTCAACACCTTCCCCCTGAAGACTTTTTGTATAAACATAATCGCTGTTTTCTTTAAATGTCAACTTTTCAACGGACGGCCCATTGTCTAAAACAAAATAATGAAATGTTAGTGCGATCCATAAACGGCCTAAATAAAAATCTTACTTTTCCCTAAAGCCCCACACGCGACTGTCAGTAGAAGTAGATGACAACGCATTTCCACAGGACAACACGCGTAAAAATGTCTAATCCATTCTTTATATGCAACCTGCGAGCCAATGATTGTTCCCCGATAATACCCAGGCTATGCACATCACACGCTCCAAAAGGACTTTTTTGAGTAGGCGTGTTGTCTTTGACCTTACAGTGAATCGATGAATGAATTTAAACTGTGCAACCATTCGGTGGCGTCAAAAGTATTGTAGCAACTTCAAATTAATCCTTTTCATTGGACGAACCCACAATAAACCTACATAGACAAATCATGCATCAGCAACCACAAAACGCCAACATATATACATGTTTATATACGTTCCAAACAGTCACAAATGTTCAGATTGACAAAGTTGAGAGATCCGACTTGATTATTTAAGGAAGAAAAAGATAGGCTTTCCGAAACAGGTTTATTTAAATGTTGACGTTTCAAAGAGCCGGGTCGACTCTCCATTGTCAAAGTGTAAAATGCACTTAATCGATCAGAAATTTAATTTAAAGTGGCATGTTGTGTTGGTCGGCCTCATGCTGATAGATTTTTCTCTCCTCTCGCTGCCTCGGCATCTCGGGCGTTTTGCGTGGGTGCTTTGATTCACTACTACAGTCAAAATCGCAAACAATACTTTATCCTGTATCTCGATAGCAGCGCGGATCTGTGCAAGATTTAAGCGATCAGCTTTAAGAAGGTGAGCAGAAGATGTGGAATATTGACATATTGTCTAATGAGTATAAAAATAGATACTGTAGGAATGCCAAAAACGAAAACCAGGTCATCTGAAGAAACACATCTGATGCGATAAAAATGTAAATTTATATGGCGGAGTTGGTTGAAGGCAATTATTAAAATGTTGGCGTCGTCGATATGATGCAAAACACTGACAACAGGGAAAAGTCCTAATTTAAACCAAGGCTCTAATCACGTCTGCAAGAATGACCCGCACGCAAACTCTCAGGTTAATCTCATTTTGGTCATGCTATTCGCCCCGATTTCAATGGCGACTGATGGAATCCGCCAATTCTATCCGAGTAAGTCGAAGACCTAAAAAGATTGTCAAAGTAATTACTCTAGGTGCTACCAGATGCCTACCAGTGTCGTTCTTATTTCATATTACATTTGATAAATTGGATTGTGCCATTTGTAGTCATTGCGAAAATCATGAAAGGGAGATCGGGTTGGTTGACCTCAACGAGAATAACGATGGGTGCTTCTGCTCAGCAAACATCTCAAGGAAATAAACTTGAGAGACCAGTTATTCAGTCGTGAATTCAGTTCAGTCTGAAGAACTTTGAGTCCGGCCTACAGTAAAATTGGGAATTCGAAAAATCTCAAATAGCATGCTGCCTGTCGAGACAGCATTCGTTAGGCAATTCATCTAGCACATTCAGATGATAACATGCAAGTTCCGGAATATCAGTAAGGGTTTCACGCACTACAACTGAATGCATTTGACGTGACCCTGAGAAGCATTGATGGGTTTTTTTTCGGATTCCGCCTAGGACAACAAATTAAAGACCAGGGCACTTTGTAGGCTCTAATAAACATTTGCGATAACGTGCCTGGAAGAGGAGACGCATTTTTTGTTAATTTTGGCAGGGGTGCTGAAGACTCTAGAATTTATTAAAGCTGACAGAGTTGGTCGACTATCAAAGCAGGATTATCTAATCTATCCTGCATGTACCCGATATATGCATCGAGAGAGATCAAGAATAATACTTGTGACATGCATGTGGAAAGATATGCCACTGCTGCTGCTGCTGTTTTCTTAGGATTGGGAATTTGGAGGGCAAATGCAAATTTTTTGCGCATTTAAAGGACTTACACGTCAGGCTTTAACGCGGAAAAATTCAGTCGACTTTGGAAATCCTATTTTATATAATTTGCTCGTACGTGCAA